CTACCATAGGATTGCATCTCCTTACGCCGCTCCACTGCCTTCTGGATTAAACCTTTAGGGTGTAGCCCCCTAAGAAAACCACCTGCTTCGGCACGCGGGCACTATCACAGCCCTCACACAAATTTGATGTGGTGACAAATATTTCGCAAAATACTATGCCTGCTCTGATCAGAACTCAGACATTTCACTTTCACTTGATAACATTCTTCCTTATTATTATTACTACTACTTTTTCATGTACAACATCACTTATCACTTTTTATTGTCACTTCATATATCCTCATTTTTCAAATTACACAGCAGCTAACCCATGGTGGAAACTCGGTTCTATCAAGACGATCTCGAGTCACTGTCCGGTTGAAAATTGTATGTTACCACCGAATAAGAATACTGAAGCAGTTTTTCAGAAATCACGTGGACCTTTCAAACTGGCTGCCTTCAACATTTACACTAATGCAGATCGGACAACAGATAGAGCTGGTTATGTCTTTAGAAAGTCTTAATATCGACGTTTGTTGTCTATCCGAGACCCGTATTCAAGACTCTAGTGAAGTACTACGAATTCGCTCTCCATCTGTCACTTCAAATAGCTTGTTTCATATGCATTTATCCGAGGACCCTGTGGCGTCTTCGTCCGGTTTTGCTGGCGTTGGTGTCGCACTAAGCACTAGAGCTGAAGCAACTCTAATCGACTGGATCCCCATTAACAGTCCGTTATGTGCTGTTAGATTAGAAAGTTCCATCAAAGTGAGAAGAAATCGGTGTGAGAAACAATGTCTTTTCGTCATCTCCGCCTATGCCCCGACAGATTGCAGCCCGGATGCAATCAAGGATGAGTTTTACCACCAGTTATCTGTTCTTCTCCAGAAAGTGCGTTCGACAGATATTGTAGTACTAGCTGGAGACTTGAATGCTCAGGTCAGGCGTCTAAGCACAAAAGAGTCATTTAGGTGGTCGATGGGGACTTGTTCGCACGACAGATAATGGGGACCGTCTACTGCAACTTTGCACAGACCACAACCTGTTTCTGACTAGCACTAACTTTCGGCACAGTCATTGCCGATGTGCCACCTGGCGTCCTCCCTCTGCATCTCAAGCCTGGACTCAGATTGATCACATCGCGGTCAGCTACCGCTGGCGTGGTTGTGTACAAGACTGCCACTTCTTTTGGAGTACCTATCTGGACTCTGACCATGCCTTGGTCTGCGCCAATCTTACCTTACTTTTCGGTGGCCAACGAATTCATCGTCCTAAACTCATTGATGTCAGTAAACTGATTGCAGCTTCTGTTACAACAAAGTATCAAACCAAGATAAGTTCTAGGCTAGCTACCGTCCCACCGAAAAATACAGATGAGCATTGGTTGCAATTGCATGACGCCATGAAAATGGCAATTAAAGTCGCTCGCGGCTTCGCAAAACGTGCGGGTTTCTTCAGGCTCCCTACAACTCATTGGAGCCCGTCGGTCTACTCCAGGTGGCCGTGAGTGTGGCCAAAAGCGAGGAAGTGCAAAGTAATTTTACAAGACTGGCAGGACCCTGCACTCACCCTGGATAGTGAGCAGATAGAAGTAGTCGAGAAGTTCGTGTAACTAGGTAGCTGCATAAGTGCTGGTGGGGGTGTGAGTGATGAGATCAATGCACGAATAGTGAAAGCCAGAGAGGCTTATGCCAATTTGGGCCACCTTTGGCGACTTCGTGATGTTAGTCTGGCTGTAAAAGGTCGGATCTACAACGCGTCGGTGAGAGCAGTTCTGCTCTATGCTTGTGAAACCTGGTCTCTCCGAGTTGAGGACGTTAGACGACTCTCTGTTTGATCATCGCTGTCTCCGAAGGATTGCGGACATCCGATGCCAACACCATGTTAGTAATGAAGAGGTTCGGCATCGTGTGTTCGGGCGCAGAGACGATAATCCAATTGGTGTCACTATCTTGAAACATCGACTTCGGTGGCTTGGATGTGTTCTCCCAATGTCGCTTCAGAGAATTCCACGTCGTGCATTATTTGCCGACTCTGTGACTGGTTGGAAGAAGCGGAGAGGTGGTCAGTGTATGACATGGTGTCGTGGTATGAAATAAAGCTGTACAGGACTGGCTTCTATTGGTCCTTCATGACTTTCTGGTTATGGTCCTATAGATGGCACAACACAATGGCTAGAGACATTATCAAACATGATTCGGAAGACAAGTCAGTGGCGGTCTTGTTGTAACTTTCTTTTACTTTATTCAGAAAAGTGAACGTAACTTCTTTAACTGAGATAATTCTTTCTGGTTAGGTTTTTCCTAACTGAACTGTTCCTCCTATTATTATTATTATTTCATCCTCATATACTAATTCCTGTTCGTTATTATTCTTCTTTAATTATGCGCACTATATATTATCTATCTCTTCACAACCTCGGTGTTATTGTATGGTGCATATGTATTTGTGCCACCTTGTACCAATGTTTATGTGTTCAAATAAATAAATAAATAAATGACTTGTTTTCTGATAATATTTTTTATAGCTTGAAGACATTAGCTAGAAAGCCTCCAACAGCGTACATCTGTTTCCCCAAAACATTTGGCTAAATCTTTTTCAATAGCGTTCACCCATCAGCATAATCGTTTATTATTTGGCCTTGAACTGATATGCTTGACTCGTTTGACTTAGATACTGTAAGTCCCATTATAAACCATCACATGGCGGTTTCTCGAATATTCCACTAGCACAAAATATTTCATTTAATTTTCAAAATACTTATTCAATTGTTTTAGTAGTTTAAAGTAGCATTATTGCGATTGCTGAATAGTTTACTATGATATGGCTTATCTGTTTTGCGTAAAAACTACCAACATTCCGCCTGTGAATTTCAAGTCCTACCTTAATCCAGGTAATTAGGTAATATCATTAGCTTATGTACTAAACCGATGGCTCAAAGTCACATAAGTAAACCTGTACTTGATTGACGAGTTTATTATGCATGAGTTTTAAACATGTTCTAAGTTCGTATGGACTAAACCTTCAAGTATTTGAGCAATGCTTTGTTTTTTTTTTTGCTATTTCCACAAGCTTTGTTGAGTTGATCATTAAAAAAGGAACTGAAAATTGTCCTTTATATATATGGTACTGTTTATTATTATGTGAAAAAATTCAGTTATTTAAACAGCTGGTTTAGAATCGAAATCATTAATAACCGTTTTACACTACTTACTTAAATATTAATGGTTTATAATGTGAAAAAGATAATGCTTCCGTTTAATACGAAAGTTTATGTGACTGAAAAAAGTAAGGCGATTGTATAATGCTTGTAATGATAGATTATGTATACTCTGTTTAGGTTATTATTTGATAATATAAAGTTGATTCACTTAGCTAACATTATTCTTACTTATTATTCAATCACTTATAACTTTACTTGATTCATTGTGTTATTAAATATCCCAGTGAAGAACTGATCGTCGGAATACGACATTATCAAACATGATTCGGAAGACAAGTCAGTGGCGGTCTGCTGTAACCTTCTTTTACTTTCTTCATAAAAAGTGACCGTACCTTCTTTAACTGAAAGGATTCTTCCTGTTTCCCCCATTATTATTCCACTACCATACACTAATTTGTTGTCGTTATTGTTCTCTTTACACGCACCTTACAAATTTTATCTCTTCTCATTATTATTCTGTGGCGCATATGTAACTGGTGCCCTCTTGTACCAATATTTATATGTTCAAATAAATAAATGCGTTGTTATCACAAACTAACAACTGTTGTTCATTTCATCTTCACTTATTCCATCACTGGAAAAGTTAAGCGAAATAAAACCTTAGGCTGTCCAGTCGTATGGTATTGAATTTTTTAATTTCACATAATTTACAATATTATTTTATTCTATCAAACGAAATTTATCGTGCCAGTGACTTGGAAGATTAAGGTTATGTTTGTTTATATTAATTTTTACAGTCTATCCCGAGGCACACTATTAATTATTATTGCTTAATGAAATCGATCACAGATACCTACTTAAATTAGTTTTGCGACTGTTTCAAATGTGAAATGGTCTCGTAGTAAACGATATTTTCAAATTTCATTTTCTCAAATAGAAAATAAATATTATTTTAGACACTAAAACTTCGAAAAAAAATAAGTTATTTATTTTCATATTAATGTCCCAATAGCATTTTAACTTTTATTCTATGATCCACGACTTTGTTGACCTGATTAGCAAGTTTTTTTAGTAAGGCTATTTACTTACCGGATGAAGTTGCTGACCTCATGCCCTACACACTTCTCCTATACCCGGGCTTGAGGCTGTCTGTAGTCTTAGGATGGTTCCAGGTTGAGTTTACTTATTTTATATTGATAACTTTTCGGACGAGGAATTGTTTCATAGTTGGATGAATTTTATTTATTAATTATGACTTAATCTTTTGTATATCTTATAGCACAGCATGCCCATGACCCTTCAGATCTATGCTTAATCACCAAACCACTGAGTCAATACCAGATAGTTTAAAAGTACGGAGCTAACACGAAAACTATTCACAAAAAGGTCACAGTGTAACCTTAGACAACTAATGGAAACTAAGAAGCAATGTACAGTTATTCCTTCCTAGTGTTTTCTGCTAAGCAATAATTCTGAAACAATTTTCACTTATCTAGACAAGCATCAAAATAGCAATTTATAAATGCAGAAACCAATCATGCTTTTCAAATCGATAGACTACGGGTGATTTAACATTAGTGAAATTGAAGAGATTTCGCCAAACAAGATTCTGTGTATGATAAGTGAACCAGTAATCTTACTCATTTGAAAAGGTTAGATTATAAATTTTGGATTCATCTGTATATACCAAATAACCAGCTGAAATGAGACATCAGTTCGTCACACAAAAAACTGCATAACTTAGGCTACAATTTATTAATTAACAAGCACATTTCAGCAGACAATTATGATAGGACTAATTGATTTAAAACACATAAAAACCTTCCGTTTTTCTCTTTTTCACTGTATCTGCTTGTAGGTGCGGCAAATACTTCGTTTATTGTCAGCATCCAGAGTTCAGAAGATTTCGTATTTATCTACTCTACTATAATGCATATATTCTCTTTCCAATCGGAAATATTTCAGAGACAGCAAGTGTATGGTTTACTCTAGTTCTATCTGTAGAACGTTACTTAACTATGAGCCAAATAGGTTCAGTATATCAAAATAAACTCAGGATGCAATCACCTAACACATTACCTTCAAAACAAAAAAGTGAAATATTGTATAACACAAACCATTCAACTTATACCACAGAATATCAAGAAACTTTTAATGAAGATAAAAAATTGCCAAAAAAGGATTCAACTGAAACAGTAGAAAATGTAGTGGAACAGCAACACCATCGTGAACAACAAACAACGGTGGGTAATTTCAAATGGTATGAAAAGATCTCGAACTGTTGTAATTTATCAGTATTAAAACAACATATCAGAAATAGTTTGACCAATACTCCAACACCAAAGTCTTTATGTATCTTACATAAATTACACCATTCACATTTAGATAAATCAATAGGACGTTGTAGTTTGAATAAATGCATACAACTGTATGCTTGCCGAAATTGTAACTTCAAACATTCACTAGTTTTTATAACATTTTTCAGTATACTACTTAATTTGCCACTATTCTTTGTTCAAAAAGTTGTCAGGAAAAATAATCCTATAAAAAAATCAGCAATTAAACAAATGGAAAACAATAAAACAAGTGAGTGGCTACATACTATATCAAACCACTTCAATAATTTAACTTCAGCTGATAATCAATACAATCAGGGTCAAATACAAGTTTTCACTGGTCTTACAGAATTTGGCAATTCAGACTTTTATAAAATTTTCTCATGGACACGTATTATGTTAATACAAGTTTTACCGTTATTATTCCTATGCTTCGTCAATTTTTGTTTATTACGTTTCATACATATAGCAAATAAACGTCGTCAAAAGTACTTATTACCAGATTTGTCTAATAAAAAAACCGGCCGTTTTAAATTACATAAAGCAAATTTGCGCAGTACAAAAGTTAATAAAGCTTCAAGCGCCAAATGGCAAGCGGCACAGCGTAAATTAACCATTTTATTAATTGTTATTATTTGTTTATTCATAGCCGGACAAATACCACAAGCATTTGCGTATATTACTATATTTGAAGCATTTAATAGACATTTTGGTAATGTATGCAAACGATGGAGATGTTGTCCTCCATATTTGATTTATCGTTCAATAGCGCATATGTTGGGCTTATTTACTTACTCTACTAATTTTTTTGTTTATCTTACATTGAATAAACATTTCAAACAACAATTAAACATTTGGTTCTTATTAATATGCCCTATTAGTAAACAATTTCGGAAAAAGTGTTTATTAAAACAAAACAAATCAATAAATCATTCTTATGATCAGTCAAAATCTAAATTATCATTCACAAATCAACATAAATCAATATCTCTACCTCATAATAATCTTTATTATCGTATGTGTAAAAGAAGACGTTCATCTACGCTATTTTGTAATCCTACAAAACGACTAATATCAATTGATAATACAGATTTATCTTCTGAAGCTGTTTCAGCTCCAGTTGATTTATGCACTAGTTCAAAATGGAAAAATAAAGATTTTCTACAATTAAATGAAATGAAAAAAGATCTATTATCAACAACTATTCATCATTCCCCTCAATGTATAAATAAAATCAATTCAATTATTAAATCAGAAAATACTATTGATTATATCAAAATGAATTATTCCTCAGTACCTGCTATTAATGACGTATCAAACTATTTAGTCATATCAAATCCTGTCAATACAGATAATAATCTGCTTTATAAACCTATAGAAACTCAATTTCAACAATCCTCTTTAATCACTAAAAATAATGACCTATCAATTAATTCTATACAACCAACAAATTGTCAAACAGAAATAAAATATGATTTAAATAATCCATCATATATTTACAAAACTTTTCGTGCTTATTATTCACATGATTCAGTGGTAAAAAATTGGATATTTCAGTTAACTAATAATAATAATAATAATAGTAATAATAATCAGAATTCTCAAAATACTAAACAAATTACAACATCACAATCACATTCAATTTATTCAAATCAATTAATAACAAATAAAGATAATTTAAACAATGATTTACAACATGAGCAATATGTTCAGAATTATGATAAGTGTAAAGAAGATATGATTAATAATGCAAAACAAAATATTATACATTGTGTAAATCTTAATATGTTGCGCAATAGTAATAATAATAATAAAGATTATTATAATAAAAGTAATGATAATATTAGTAATAGTACTAATAGTAGTACTAGTAAGAACAGTAATAGTGCGATAACAAATTCAAAAACTTGTACTCATTCAATAATTGATTATGATTCACATGGTGTTGGTTTGACATTTTCACATGTTTATTGTCCACTTATATATAGAGAGAGTGATTTTGATGTGATTTCAGTTGATGAAAGCAATGCACAAGATGAACCAGAGCCAAATTCATTTTTATAAAGTTAAGTATATGTTTTATGAAATAACATATGAACATTTGTTTATAATAAAAGAATTAATATTTTCGTTCTTAATGTTATATCTAATATAAGAAGACTAGGATCTATGTATCGTTGAAGCATACTAGCACATAAATAAACAACATAGTATATATCTAACATTATTCTGAGATATAAATACTTGCTATAGTTTCAATGTTGTTTCTTCATTTATAGTTTTACCATGGTCATCATCATCGTATGAGTAGATTTCTTCCTGATACATCGGTGTATTTTATAATAGATATAAATATTTCTATACATAAACATTTCACCGTGAATGATATTTATGGTATAATATACCTGTTGCAGTATATAAAATTAATGTACAGCAAAATCATTTTTATTGAACAAGCTATAAGGTCATTCCTACTTACAGAAAGAAAAAAGAAGTTATTGACAAATATTTTTCTAGAAAAAATATATATATGTATTTTTATGTTGCCCGTAGTCTGATCTTACTTTATAAACTTGCTGTACGGGTGCAACTTTTTTGTAGTACACTATTAGGTAGAGCCTTATTACATTTTCTAAACTATTCATAATGCTGTAAAGTATATATATATTTCAATAGTACCTGAATTATTCATTAGGTTACAAGATTCAAATAAAACTTATTGCAATAAACGAATTTTCCATTTGTTAAAAGGCAGATTTTGTGGAGTTTAACCTTGAAATAAAGACTAACTACGCTATACAGTGCAGATCTAAACATTATTAACTTTATTTAATACTTAATCATTAGAGAGGCTTCCATTCTATTATATTGATTGAGTGACTTCATATATACATTAGAGCTATATAAAGAGGTCATCCAATTGTTGTGGATACGGAGGAATAGACCAATAATTATCATGTTAAGTCCAATGGTGTCCTTGGACTTTAAATGGATATTTCCTATTGGTCGATATCTGTTCACTTGTTGAATATTGTACAAAATGTTGTTTTCTATTTTATGGTGTGATGTGGTATGTTTGATTGGTATATAAACAAAGTATGTTTGAAATATAATGATTCATATCTCTGAGGCTGTGACTCGTGTTCTGGACTCAACTGACTGGGCTAGACAGGGAAGCCGTCCGTACGTGTTTACGTGTCAGTGTAATCGATCGATAAGATAAAAATCGACAGCAACCTAAAGTCATAACACCAATCATCAGAAATATTGCTATGATCAATGCACCAAGCTTGTATTTTGCAACAAGAACAGCTATTCGAGGATAAATTTCGTTTCTATATATAACTTAATAGCTTGTAAAAATACGATCGTACAAACCATTTTAAACGCTAAATGAAAATATGCCTTCACATATTTTATCTAAACACACAAGAAGCAGATGACTGATATGTAGATTTTTAACTGTAAATAAAAACTGAGTGTTTGTCAATAATGTTGCCATTTCCTAAATAATTCTTCAATGTCACTTACACTTCCACGTTAAAACTTAAAAATATTGCTTCTACCACTGAAAGCTTCGATAGTTTTAAACTAAATAACATCCATGGGTTATATTTCGGCACTATAAGACTGGCTGTGCAGCATTTCATATTAACAAACAGTTTGGTTATACATTCATGGGTCAAGTGATTACTAACCTACAGAAACAATCCTTTGTTCAAATAAGAATTCATCATAAAAACCCTGAATCTTTGTGCGATACAAAAAAAGTAACGCAGGAGAGAAACACAGCAAATTGAATATTAGGTAAAATGGCCTTCCGGAGGATAATTCAAATAGCAGATATTAAACGGAAAGAAGTAATTAAGATTCAGGTATCAACAAAACAAAAGAGCAATAGTAACCATTTTCGAAATAGTAACCAACAATATTGAGTGTTCAATATTCCAAACACCAGTAACTCATTTGAAAATGAGTTCTGAGATTTTTCATAATGCGTTTTAAAAGGTGAGCAAAAACATATAAACAGAGGCTTCTCACCAACAAACATGACAACACATTTACTCAAAAACTGACAAATTTTAGAATACAAAGACGCATCACACGAACAAAAAAACAGCGGTAAATCATGAAAGAAAAAAATAACAACTAAAGTTGAAGCAATCCAATGTTCAAACTAATGACCACGAATATTGTATGCGTGGTGACATCCAACCACATTTCTAAATCTAACAAAACTGTTCGCAACCAGTACATGACTACACAATCCGGATATGTGAGTCAAGCTTACACTTACCAAACCAAAGATATCACATAGAACACAAACAATGGAAACCCTAGTAGCCGAGAAACAATTTTGCGCAGTCTACTATTTCATACTTAGGCGACTGGTGCTGCAACTGCGTAATAGAAACATTAACGACAAATAAAAGATGAACAAAAGTAAACCTTCTAGACACCATCTATCTTTCCAATCGACACTTAATACCGATGTGCATCGTCGAAACAACCAATTTATCCCAACACAATAGACCCTACCCAATGCACCATTGTGATCACTGACTTGTCTCGACATTTATACATGCAATCTCTATATATCTATGATACTTCGTTACGTTCAGTGCTGGAAACCCATTTGACAATTTATCCTGAAGAGATCACCTCACAGTCAACACCCGAACATGAAACCGACACATCAGTCAAGAAACACTGTGCTAAGCACCTGTTCTTTGTTGGTGACATACAACAAACTGTCCTCGTAGACAAACTCCAGTCTGATCTTTATTCGATGGAATATAGCATCTACACACTTCCAAAATAGATATATCCCACCATCTTTATCGATGCTCAAGCCAGTTCGCATAAAATTCCGTTAAATTTAGACTAAGAAACTAATGAGCATCAACATTTAAATACATAAAGCATACTATCAGGCTGCTGGATAAGCCATCAGACACACGAAGACCTCCTTAAACTAAGCATATGAAGTGTGTAGTGTAAACCATTTATTAAGCACAGGCTTATAAACTCGACTTTGAGTCGCACTGTTTATGTGAAAGCTAATGATACTAACCGAATTCCCCAAACCGAGGTAGGTGAGGTGGGGTTAGAGCCCGCAACTTATCGGTTGATACATACTTACAACACTGAAACAACCACGTTCAGCGCATTGTCAAAACATTGCATTGGAATCACGACGACTAATACGATACAATACAATACGTTACATACCCAACGCACAATAGAAGGCAGACGTGAAATGCCTTACCGAAGGCGCAAATTCTTCGGACACTTCATAATACGGTTATCTGTTATATATTTTGGAAAATGTTTTATCAATTACTCCAGTGGCTTACCGTACGCATCAGGATAACCAGAATCTAGACCCGAAGAACGGGGTTAGAACCACCACTTTTCGGCAATCCTGCTGCAGTCATGTAACCACCCCCACAGCTCACACACCCACCAGCATGAACAACCTTGGTTGTCAACGCCAAATGTCCGCAAGCAAATTCTGTTCACGCTTTGAGAATTGGCTATCTTGGTTACTCTGTAGAGCAACCTTTAGACCTACACCGACTAATCCCCATAACACAATGTGTGAACAGCTACAGCACCACAGCAAAACCTGCTAGTCTCACCATCAGACAGCCGCTTTGCCGGAAAGATTTAACTGCACACCAGCACAACTATGTTTCCAGATTAACAGCTAAACTCCGAGTTAAAAATCTGCAAACAGCTAACTGATCAAAACTGTCTCGCCTGACACTGCGAACAACAGCAATCTCCCATGTATCAGCATAGCATACAGGCAATCCATATCGGCAGGATATTAGCTGATAAGAAAAGCAAAAGGCTTAGTTAGATGATAGATTCATGATATATATGTATAAACCAATAAAAACAATGAACAAGTTAAATAAGCGTCAGCAGTCAACGTCGTTCTCTTGATAACGACCGACTATAATGTCGGGGAGAAGAAGGAAGACGATATCGATCGTTCATTCTACGTGGTGACCGCCTGTCACGACCAGACGAGAAAGAACGAGAACGCCGTCCATTACGTCGCGGAGTAACCGATCGTCTGAAAAGTTAAAAGTGAACTCATTTGCGAGAATACAGTTACACAAAAATAGTGATAAATGATGCATGCAAGTGGACACCAATAATTAAAGAGAGAAGTAGAACAAATATAACAAGATAAATTGAAATACAGAGAGAATAATTAACTAGCTATACCTACACTTATTACCAAGTAAAACACAATAACCAATGCACACAGTACACTAAACATATAAAAACTTCACCGTCGGGAAATTCTTCATACAGACTAACAAGCATCCCCATAAAATTGGTTTGCATATAATACGCAAATACTACATAATCGCCACTCATGGTAGGCTAAATCCTAATAGTATACTTCTCATCCACAACGCTTTCTATTTGTCATCTCATCTATATGGACTGTCCAAATGTCAGGCAATCACCTGGTCAAACCCAAACGAACAATCCCTAATTAATCAAATCAATTTGTATGGAAAACAATTGTAGAAACGGTACTAGAGGCACGTGAATACCATTAGCGACCGTCTACTTCAATATAGCATTTTTGGGAGACCAGAACGATATCCTGGTACTATGAAAATGCACAAAAATCTAACATCTGAATCTGCAACTTTGTAGGAGAGATTCACAGTAGACAGTAGTTTTGCCAACAAATCAATCCTTTCAATATAGCATTCCTAAAACACCCGACTACAGTCAGGCTCTAGCGGAATGCACAAAAAGAATCATGTTTCAATATGTAGAAGCAATTTTAACGGGATGCGATGCACACCGCCAGTGATTGCTACGTTCATTTTGGCATCACTGAAGCACTAGGCTTGTTAACCAGCCTTCGTCAGATGCCATTCACTAAACATCTTTATTATTTCGTTCTACTACATATACGTGTATACTCCAGTTCCTGTTACAGCACTACACACTGGCCATTCTTCATAGTTCCACATCAATTCGCCTCCTCACAGGCGTGCAACGGCAACTCTTACGAGATATAACGCACTCCCCTCAAGAGCCACCAGAAGATTCCTGCAAAATCCAATATCACTTCCGTGACGCTTCGTTAAGCAGGCATAAATCCAACAGACCAAAACCCATAAATGATTTCATGCCACATCCATTCACGCCACTGAATAAAAACTTCTCCTGCATTTTCCCACTTTCCCGTCAACGCCCGCTTACCATCCTTCTTCTATTACTACGTATGTGGTATTCGCCAACAAATTCATTGCTCAATCAAACTGTCTTGACGTAAAAAAATAGCAACCTCATTAATCGAAGTCTAACATTTAACAATTGTACCCTTAAAAAGAATAACACGTTGCACAAATCCGAAAGGCATGATACCCACTTGAAACACAAAATGGATGACAACCAGTTATCAATTCATCAGCTGAGCACAAACAACATGTCACCACCAATACTGTGGGGCACCAACTGTTAACTCTGTTTACTACACAAACACAACAATACATTATTTCATTATCTCACCAATTGTAAAAACACCGGCGCAGCTTCTCTATACATCATCAAAACCTAACTAAGTCCCAACCGCGGCCACAACGCAATTCAACAATCACTCCTCAACAACGGTCCTCCTCCTACCAATCGTACAACTCAGTGCAGTGAGATGTCACTGAACATGACTCAGAATAAAAGCCAGTGGTGATTATTCGGTAGTCCTATTTGACGTTCCTCCGAAACTTGAACTGTATCTCTTAAAGTCCTCATTCTCGTCGTGACTACAGGACTTCCCCAGCCACTTTGTCTTTTTGAACACCTATCCTCACTTCGTATCATCTGGTGCGTTTCCTAGCACTCAATTGTACCAAACACGTTACGTGTCACAAATAAATAATACGAGCAACATACACATAATCAAATCTGCACAGACACCCACTTGGATGAAAGAAGGTTAATTCCCAACAAATGAACGACTATATGACTCAGTAAAAACTTACAACCAACTAACATCACTCTACTACATTGAACCCGAGTGAAAACTGCACGATACTTACAAGTGGTTGACACCATCACTCAAACTAACAGTCGGTAGGACAAACACATAATTTTCCCCACTCCCTTCTTCGATTCACAATCTCGCGTGTCGAATTCGCCGACTTATACACCAACAAAACAATTCCTGATCAACGTGAAACACATGAACGCACAATGCAAATTCTTGCGAAAATCTAACACTTCTCTTGCAGCACAATCCAAAACAAAATTTTAAACACATACATACCTGCCTTCATTAACCTAACAGCACTTCGGTTCATATACACAAACCGTCTGACATATTCATTATTCACCTAACCCTATCGGTGACTACACTAATGACCACACCTAACTACAACCGACCTGAACACATCACCATATAATAACACCGGGTTAGATAGAACCACTCAATCCTAAACTAAACAATATTAGACATCGTCCACATCACTTGCGGCTATCAAACACTAGTTTGTCCAGCAACATTTGACAGGCAAACGCTCAATCAGATCACATATAACACCATAGACACCTCATTACACTTTAGGCGCAATACACTTAACATTGGAGCAGTCAGTCACACCCCACTTACATGTCAGTGTAACAACTGGCACTCATATGCAAGCAACATTATCGAATCACACTCTGCACAATTTAGGGTGAGTAAATCCCATAAACTGATTGAACTCAGAAGAACAATCCCCAATCAATCAAATCAATTTGTATGGAAAACAATTGTAGAAACGGTACTAGAAACACGTGAATACCATTAGCGACCGTCTACTTCAATATAGCATTTTGGGAGACCAGAACAATGTCCTGGTACTATGAAAATGCAATACCAATCTCCAACCAGGTTTACAGAGACTCGTAATAAACATAAGTACATGCTACTGCAAAAACTCTAGGATGGGAAACGTCAATGACTATTGTTTATTTTAATCTAGCACTGGCCGAAACTAGAACCATACACACACTCCACACAACACCCTATAGGGAACAAACAATGTAGGAGCTATTCGGGAAGCAAAATTGCCTCCACAAATACCCTCCTTTTAATGTAGCATCCTTCTGACACCCGACCAGAGTCAGGCTCTAATAGAATGCGAGGTGAATTCCAACCACATTTCTAAATCTAACAAAACTGTTCGCAACCAGTACATGACTACACAATCCGGATACGTGAGTCAAGCTTACACTTACCAAACCAAAGATATCACATAGAACACAAACAATGGAAACCCTAGTAGCCGAGAAACAATTTTGCGCAGTCTACTATTTCATACTTAGGCGACTGGTGCTGCAACTGCGTAATAGAAACATTAACGACAAATAAAAGATGAACAAAAGTAAACCTTCTAGACACCATCTATCTTTCCAATCGACACTTAATACCGATGTGCATCGTCGAAACAACCAATTTATCCCAACACAATAGACCCTACCCAATGCACCATTGTGATCACTGACTTGTCTCGACATTTATACATGCAATCTCTATATATCTATGATACTTCGTTACGTTCAGTGCTGGAAACCCATTTGACAATTTATCCTGAAGAGATCACCTCACAGTCAACACCCGAACATGAAACCGACACATCAGTCAAGAAACACTGTGCTAAGCACCTGTTCTTTGTTGGTGACATACAACAAACTGTCCTCGTAGACAAACTCCAGTCTGATCTTTATTCGATGGAATATAGCATCTACACACTTCCAAAATAGATATATCCCACCATCTTTATCGATGCTCAAGCCAGTTCGCATAAAATTCCGTTAAATTTAGACTAAGAAACTAATGAGCATCAACATTTAAATACATAAAGCATACTATCAGGCTGCTGGATAAGCCATCAGACACACGAAGACCTCCTTAAACTAAGCATATGAAGTGTGTAGTGTAAACCATTTATTAAGCACAGGCTTATAAACTCGACTTTGAGTCGCACTGTTTATGTGAAAGCTAATGATACTAACCGAATTCCCCAAACCGAGGTAGGTGAGGTGGGGTTAGAGCCCGCAACTTATCGGTTGATATATACTTACAACACTGAAACAACCACGTTCAGCGCATTGTCAAAACATTGCATTGGAATCACGACGACTAATACGATACAATACAATACGTTACATACCCAACGCACAATAGAAGGCAGACGTGAAATGCCTTACCGAAGGCGCAAATTCTTCGGACACTTCATAATACGGTTATCTGTTATATATTTTGGAAAATGTTTTATCAATTACTCCAGTGGCTTACCGTACGCATCAGGATAACCAGAATCTAGGCCCGAAGAACGGGGTTAGAACCACCACTTTTCGGCAATCCTGCTGCAGTCATGTAACCACCCCCACAGCTCACACACCCACCAGCATGAACAACCTTGGTTGTCAACGCCAAATGTCCGCAAGCAAATTCTGTTCACGCTTTGAGAATTGGCTATCTTGGTTACTCTGTAGAGCAACCTTTAGACCTACACCGACTAATCCCCATAACACAATGTGTGAACAGCTACAGCACCACAGCAAAACCTGCTAGTCTCACCATCAGACAGCCGCTTTGCCGGAAAGATTTAACTGCACACCAGCACAACTATGTTTCCAGATTAACAGCTAAACTCCGAGTTAAAAATCTGCAAACAGCTAACTGATCAAAACTGTCTCGCCTGACACTGCGAACAACAGCAATCTCCCATGTATCAGCATAGCATACAGGCAATCCATATCGGCAGGATATTAGCTGATAAGAAAAGCAAAAGGCTTAGTTAGATGATAGATTCATGATATATATGTATAAACCAATAAAAACAATGAACAAGTTAAATAAGCGTCAGCAGTCAACGTCGTTCTCTTGATAACGACCGACTATAATGTCGGGGAGAAGAAGGAAGACGATATCGATCGTTCATTCTACGTGGTGACCGCCTGTCACGACCAGACGAGAAAGAACGAGAACGCCGTCCATTACGTCGCGGAGTAACCGATCGTCTGAAAAGTTAAAAGTGAACTCATTTGCGAGAATACAGTTACACAAAAATAGTGATAAATGATGCATGCAAGCGGACACCAATAATTAAAAAGAGAAGTAGAACAAATATAACAAGATAAATTGAAATACAGAGAGAATAATTAACTAGCTATACCTACACTTATTACCAAGTAAAACACAATAACCAATGCACACAGTACACTAAACATATAAAAACTTCACCGTCGGGAAATTCTTCATACAGACTAACAAGCATCCCCATAAAATTGGTTTGCATATAGTACGCAAATACTACATAATCGCCACTCATGGTAGGCTAAATCCTAATAGTATACTTCTCATCCACAACGCTTTCTATTTGTCATCTCATCTATATGGACTGTCCAAATGTCAGGCAATCACCTGGTCAAACCCAAACGAACAATCCCTAATTAATCAAATCAATTTGTATGGAAAACAATTGTAGAAACGGTACTAGAGGCACGTGAATACCATTAGCGACCGTCTACTTCAATATAGCATTTTTGGGAGACCAGAACGATATCCTGGTACTATGAAAATGCACAAAAATCTAACATCTGAATCTGCAACTTTGTAGGAGAGATTCACAGTAGACAGTAGTTTTGCCAACAAATCAATCCTTTCAATATAGCATTCCTAAAACACCCGACTACAGTCAGGCTCTAGCGGAATGCACAAAAAGAATCATGTTTCAATATGTAGAAGCAATTTTAACGGGATGCGATGCACACCGCCAGTGATTGCTACGTTCATTTTGGCATCACTGAAGCACTAGGCTTGTTAACCAGCCTTCGTCAGATGCCATTCACTAAACATCTTTATTATTTCGTTCTACTACATATACGTGTATACTCCAGTTCCTGTTACAGCACTACACACTGGCCATTCTTCATAGTTCCACATCAATTCGCCTCCTCACAGGCGTGCAACGGCAACTCTTACGAGATATAACGCGCTCCCCTCAAGAGCCACCAGAAGATTCCTGCAAAATCCAATATCACTTCCGTGACGCTTCGTTAAGCAGGCATAAATCCAACAGACCAAAACCCATAAATGATTTCATGCCACATCCATTCACGCCACTGAATAAAAACTTCTCCTGCATTTTCCCACTTTCCCGTCAACGCCCGCTTACCATCCTTCTTCTATTACTACTTATGTGGTATTCGCCAACAAATTCATTGCTCAATCAAACTGTCTTGACGTAAAAAAATAGCAACCTCATTAATCGAAGTCTAACATTTAACAATTGTACCCTTAAAAAGAATAACACGTTGCACAAATCCGAAAGGCATGATACCCACTTGAAACACAAAATGGATGACAACCAGTTATCAATTCATCAGCTGAGCACAAACAACATGTCACCACCAATACTGTGGGGCACCAACTGTTAACTCTGTTTACTACACAAACACAACAATACATTATTTCATTATCTCACCAATTGTAAAAACACCGGCGCAGCTTCTCTATACATCATCAAAACCTAACTAAGTCCCAACCGCGGCCACAACGCAATTCAACAATCACTCCTCAACAACGGTCCTCCTCCTACCAATCGTACAACTCAGTGCAGTGAGATGTCACTGAACATGACTCAGAATAAAAGCCAGTGGTGATTATTCGGTAGTCCTATTTGACGTTCCTCCGAAACTTGAACTGTATCTCTTAAAGTCCTCATTCTCGTCGTGACTACAGGACTTCCCCAGCCACTTTGTCTTTTTGAACACCTATCCTCACTTCGTATCATCTGGTGCGTTTCCTAGCACTCAATTGTACCAAACACGTTACGTGTCACAAATAAATAATACGAGCAACATACACATAATCAAATCTGCACAGACACCCACTTGGATGAAAGAAGGTTAATTCCCAACAAATGAACGACTATATGACTCAGTAAAAACTTACAACCAACTAACATCACTCTACTACATTGAACCCGAGTGAAAACTGCACGATACTTACAAGTGGTTGACACCATCACTCAAACTAACAGTCGGTAGGACAAACACATAATTTTCCCCACTCCCTTCTTCGATTCACAATCTCGCGTGTCGAATTCGCCGACTTATACACCAACAAAACAATTCCTGATCAACGTGAAACACATGAACGCACAATGCAAATTCTTGCGAAAATCTAACACTTCTCTTGCAGCACAATCCAAAACAAAATTTTAAACACATACATACCTGCCTTCATTAACCTAACAGCACTTCGGTTCATATACACAAACCGTCTGACATATTCATTATTCACCTAACCCTATCGGTGACTACACTAATGACCACACCTAACTACAACCGACCTGAACACATCACCATATAATAACACCGGGTTAGATAGAACCACTCAATCCTAAACTAAACAATATTAGACATCGTCCACATCACTTGCGGCTATCAAACACTAGTTTGTCCAGCAACATTTGACAGGCAAACGCTCAATCAGATCACATATAACACCATAGACACCTCATTACACTTTAGGCGCAATACACTTAACATTGGAGCAGTCAGTCACACCCCACTTACATGTCAGTGTAACAACTGGCACTCATATGCAAGCAACATTATCGAATCACACTCTGCACAATTTAGGGTGAGTAAATCCCATAAACTGATTGAACTCAGAAGAACAATCCCCAATCAATCAAATCAATTTGTATGGAAAACAATTGTAGAAACGGTACTAGAAACACGTGAATACCATTAGCGACCGTCTACTTCAATATAGCATTTTGGGAGACCAGAACAATGTCCTGGTACTATGAAAATGCAATACCAATCTCCAACCAGGTTTACAGAGACTCGTAATAAACATAAGTACATGCTACTGCAAAAACTCTAGGATGGGAAACGTCAATGACTATTGTTTATTTTAATCTAGCACTGGCCGAAACTAGAACCATACACACACTCCACACAACACCCTATAGGGAACAAACAATGTAGGAGCTATTCGGGAAGCAAAATTGCCTCCACAAATACCCTCCTTTTAATGTAGCATCCTTCTGACACCCGACCAGAGTCAGGCTCTAATAGAATGCGAGGTGAATTCCAACCACATTTCTAAATCTAACAAAACTGTTCGCAACCAGTACATGACTACACAATCCGGATACGTGAGTCAAGCTTACACTTACCAAACCAAAGATATCACATAGAACACAAACAATGGAAACCCTAGTAGCCGAGAAACAATTTTGCGCAGTCTACTATTTCATACTTAGGCGACTGGTGCTGCAACTGCGTAATAGAAACATTAACGACAAATAAAAGATGAACAAAAGTAAACCTTCTAGACACCATCTATCTTTCCAATCGACACTTAATACCGATGTGCATCGTCGAAACAACCAATTTATCCCAACACAATAGACCCTACCCAATGCACCATTGTGATCACTGACTTGTCTCGACATTTATACATGCAATCTCTATATATCTATGATACTTCGTTACGTTCAGTGCTGGAAACCCATTTGACAATTTATCCTGAAGAGATCACCTCACAGTCAACACCCGAACATGAAACCGACACATCAGTCAAGAAACACTGTGCTAAGCACCTGTTCTTTGTTGGTGACATACAACAAACTGTCCTCGTAGACAAACTCCAGTCTGATCTTTATTCGATGGAATATAGCATCTACACACTTCCAAAATAGATATATCCCACCATCTTTATCGATGCTCAAGCCAGTTCGCATAAAATTCCGTTAAATTTAGACTAAGAAACTAATGAGCATCAACATTTAAATACATAAAGCATACTATCAGGCTGCTGGATAAGCCATCAGACACACGAAGACCTCCTTAAACTAAGCATATGAAGTGTGTAGTGTAAACCATTTATTAAGCACAGGCTTATAAACTCGACTTTGAGTCGCACTGTTTATGTGAAAGCTAATGATACTAACCGAATTCCCCAAACCGAGGTAGGTGAGGTGGGGTTAGAGCCCGCAACTTATCGGTTGATACATACTTACAACACTGAAACAACCACGTTCAGCGCATTGTCAAAACATTGCATTGGAATCACGACGACTAATACGATACAATACAATACGTTACATACCCAACGCACAATAGAAGGCAGACGTGAAATGCCTTACCGAAGGCGCAAATTCTTCGGACACTTCATAATACGGTTATCTGTTATATATTTTGGAAAATGTTTTATCAATTACTCCAGTGGCTTACCGTACGCATCAGGATAACCAGAATCTAGACCCGAAGAACGGGGTTAGAACCACCACTTTTCGGCAATCCTGCTGCAGTCATGTAACCACCCCCACAGCTCACACACCCACCAGCATGAACAACCTTGGTTGTCAACGCCAAATGTCCGCAAGCAAATTCTGTTCACGCTTTGAGAATTGGCTATCTTGGTTACTCTGTAGAGCAACCTTTAGACCTACACCGACTAATCCCCATAACACAATGTGTGAACAGCTACAGCACCACAGCAAAACCTGCTAGTCTCACCATCAGACAGCCGCTTTGCCGGAAAGATTTAACTGCACACCAGCACAACTATGTTTCCAGATTAACAGCTAAACTCCGAGTTAAAAATCTGCAAACAGCTAACTGATCAAAACTGTCTCGCCTGACACTGCGAACAACAGCAATCTCCCATGTATCAGCATAGCATACAGGCAATCCATATCGGCAGGATATTAGCTGATAAGAAAAGCAAAAGGCTTAGTTAGATGATAGATTCATGATATATATGTATAAACCAATAAAAACAATGAACAAGTTAAATAAGCGTCAGCAGTCAACGTCGTTCTCTTGATAACGACCGACTATAATGTCGGGGAGAAGAAGGAAGACGATATCGATCGTTCATTCTACGTGGTGACCGCCTGTCACGACCAGACGAGAAAGAACGAGAACGCCGTCCATTACGTCGCGGAGTAACCGATCGTCTGAAAAGTTAAAAGTGAACTCATTTGCGAGAATACAGTTACACAAAAATAGTGATAAATGATGCATGCAAGTGGACACCAATAATTAAAGAGAGAAGTAGAACAAATATAACAAGATAAATTGAAATACAGAGAGAATAATTAACTAGCTATACCTACACTTATTACCAAGTAAAACACAATAACCAATGCACACAGTACACTAAACATATAAAAACTTCACCGTCGGGAAATTCTTCATACAGACTAACAAGCATCCCCATAAAATTGGTTTGCATATAATACGCAAATACTACATAATCGCCACTCATGGTAGGCTAAATCCTAATAGTATACTTCTCATCCACAACGCTTTCTATTTGTCATCTCATCTATATGGACTGTCCAAATGTCAGGCAATCACCTGGTCAAACCCAAACGAACAATCCCTAATTAATCAAATCAATTTGTATGGAAAACAATTGTAGAAACGGTACTAGAGGCACGTGAATACCATTAGCGACCGTCTACTTCAATATAGCATTTTTGGGAGACCAGAACGATATCCTGGTACTATGAAAATGCACAAAAATCTAACATCTGAATCTGCAACTTTGTAGGAGAGATTCACAGTAGACAGTAGTTTTGCCAACAAATCAATCCTTTCAATATAGCATTCCTAAAACACCCGACTACAGTCAGGCTCTAGCGGAATGCACAAAAAGAATCATGTTTCAATATGTAGAAGCAATTTTAACGGGATGCGATGCACACCGCCAGTGATTGCTACGTTCATTTTGGCATCACTGAAGCACTAGGCTTGTTAACCAGCCTTCGTCAGATGCCATTCACTAAACATCTTTATTATTTCGTTCTACTACATATACGTGTATACTCCAGTTCCTGTTACAGCACTACACACTGGCCATTCTTCATAGTTCCACATCAATTCGCCTCCTCACAGGCGTGCAACGGCAACTCTTACGAGATATAACGCACTCCCCTCAAGAGCCACCAGAAGATTCCTGCAAAATCCAATATCACTTCCGTGACGCTTCGTTAAGCAGGCATAAATCCAACAGACCAAAACCCATAAATGATTTCATGCCACATCCATTCACGCCACTGAATAAAAACTTCTCCTGCATTTTCCCACTTTCCCGTCAACGCCCGCTTACCATCCTTCTTCTATTACTACGTATGTGGTATTCGCCAACAAATTCATTGCTCAATCAAACTGTCTTGACGTAAAAAAATAGCAACCTCATTAATCGAAGTCTAACATTTAACAATTGTACCCTTAAAAAGAATAACACGTTGCACAAATCCGAAAGGCATGATACCCACTTGAAACACAAAATGGATGACAACCAGTTATCAATTCATCAGCTGAGCACAAACAACATGTCACCACCAATACTGTGGGGCACCAACTGTTAACTCTGTTTACTACACAAACACAACAATACATTATTTCATTATCTCACCAATTGTAAAAACACCGGCGCAGCTTCTCTATACATCATCAAAACCTAACTAAGTCCCAACCGCGGCCACAACGCAATTCAACAATCACTCCTCAACAACGGTCCTCCTCCTACCAATCGTACAACTCAGTGCAGTGAGATGTCACTGAACATGACTCAGAATAAAAGCCAGTGGTGATTATTCGGTAGTCCTATTTGACGTTCCTCCGAAACTTGAACTGTATCTCTTAAAGTCCTCATTCTCGTCGTGACTACAGGACTTCCCCAGCCACTTTGTCTTTTTGAACACCTATCTTCACTTCGTATCATCTGGTGCGTTTCCTAGCACTCAATTGTACCAAACACGTTACGTGTCACAAATAAATAATACGAGCAACATACACATAATCAAATCTGCACAGACACCCACTTGGATGAAAGAAGGTTAATTCCCAACAAATGAACGACTATATGACTCAGTAAAAACTTACAACCAACTAACATCACTCTACTACATTGAACCCGAGTGAAAACTGCACGATACTTACAAGTGGTTGACACCATCACTCAAACTAACAGTCGGTAGGACAAACACATAATTTTCCCCACTCCCTTCTTCGATTCACAATCTCGCGTGTCGAATTCGCCGACTTATACACCAACAAAACAATTCCTGATCAACGTGAAACACATGAACGCACAATGCAAATTCTTGCGAAAATCTAACACTTCTCTTGCAGCACAATCCAAAACAAAATTTTAAACACATACATACCTGCCTTCATTAACCTAACAGCACTTCGGTTCATATACACAAACCGTCTGACATATTCATTATTCACCTAGCCCTATCGGTGACTACACTAATGACCACACCTAACTACAACCGACCTGAACACATCACCATATAATAACACCGGGTTAGATAGAACCACTCAATCCTAAACTAAACAATATTAGACATCGTCCACATCACTTGCGGCTATCAAACACTAGTTTGTCCAGCAACATTTGACAGGCAAACGCTCAATCAGATCACATATAACACCATAGACACCTCATTACACTTTAGGCGCAATACACTTAACATTGGAGCAGTCAGTCACACCCCACTTACATGTCAGTGTAACAACTGGCACTCATATGCAAGCAACATTATCGAATCACACTCTGCACAATTTAGGGTGAGTAAATCCCATAAACTGATTGAACTCAGAAGAACAATCCCCAATCAATCAAATCAATTTGTATGGAAAACAATTGTAGAAACGGTACTAGAAACACGTGAATACCATTAGCGACCGTCTACTTCAATATAGCATTTTGGGAGACCAGAACAATGTTCTGGTACTATGAAAATGCAATACCAATCTCCAACCAAGTTTACAGAGACTCGTAATAAACATAAGTACATGCTACTGCAAAAACTCTAGGATGGGAAACGTCAATGACTATTGTTTATTTTAATCTAGCACTGGCCGAAACTAGAACCATACACACACTCCACACAACACCCTATAGGGAACAAACAATGTAGGAGCTATTCGGGAAGCAAAATTGCCTCCACAAATACCCTCCTTTTAATGTAGCATCCTTCTGACACCCGACCAGAGTCAGGCTCTAATAGAATGCGAGGTGAATTCCAACCACATTTCTAAATCTAACAAAACTGTTCGCAACCAGTACATGACTACACAATCCGGATACGTGAGTCAAGCTTACACTTACCAAACCAAAGATATCACATAGAACACAAACAATGGAAACCCTAGTAGCCGAGAAACAATTTTGCGCAGTCTACTATTTCATACTTAGGCGACTGGTGCTGCAACTGCGTAATAGAAACATTAACGACAAATAAAAGATGAACAAAAGTAAACCTTCTAGACACCATCTATCTTTCCAATCGACACTTAATACCGATGTGCATCGTCGAAACAACCAATTTATCCCAACACAATAGACCCTACCCAATGCACCATTGTGATCACTGACTTGTCTCGACATTTATACATGCAATCTCTATATATCTATGATACTTCGTTACGTTCAGTGCTGGAAACCCATTTGACAATTTATCCTGAAGAGATCACCTCACAGTCAACACCCGAACATGAAACCGACACATCAGTCAAGAAACACTGTGCTAAGCACCTGTTCTTTGTTGGTGACATACAACAAACTGTCCTCGTAGACAAACTCCAGTCTGATCTTTATTCGATGGAATATAGCATCTACACACTTCCAAAATAGATATATCCCACCATCTTTATCGATGCTCAAGCCAGTTCGCATAAAATTCCGTTAAATTTAGACTAAGAAACTAATGAGCATCAACATTTAAATACATAAAGCATACTATCAGGCTGCTGGATAAGCCATCAGACACACGAAGACCTCCTTAAACTAAGCATATGAAGTGTGTAGTGTAAACCATTTATTAAGCACAGGCTTATAAACTCGACTTTGAGTCGCACTGTTTATGTGAAAGCTAATGATACTAACCGAATTCCCCAAACCGAGGTAGGTGAGGTGGGGTTAGAGCCCGCAACTTATCGGTTGATACATACTTACAACACTGAAACAACCACGTTCAGCGCATTGTCAAAACATTGCATTGGAATCACGACGACTAATACGATACAATACAATACGTTACATACCCAACGCACAATAGAAGGCAGACGTGAAATGCCTTACCGAAGGCGCAAATTCTTCGGACACTTCATAATACGGTTATCTGTTATATATTTTGGAAAATGTTTTATCAATTACTCCAGTGGCTTACCGTACGCATCAGGATAACCAGAATCTAGGCCCGAAGAACGGGGTTAGAACCACCACTTTTCGGCAATCCTGCTGCAGTCATGTAACCACCCCCACAGCTCACACACCCACCAGCATGAACAACCTTGGTTGTCAACGCCAAATGTCCGCAAGCAAATTCTGTTCACGCTTTGAGAATTGGCTATCTTGGTTACTCTGTAGAGCAACCTTTAGACCTACACCGACTAATCCCCATAACACAATGTGTGAACAGCTACAGCACCACAGCAAAACCTGCTAGTCTCACCATCAGACAGCCGCTTTGCCGGAAAGATTTAACTGCACACCAGCACAACTATGTTTCCAGATTAACAGCTAAACTCCGAGTTAAAAATCTGCAAACAGCTAACTGATCAAAACTGTCTCGCCTGACACTGCGAACAACAGCAATCTCCCATGTATCAGCATAGCATACAGGCAATCCATATCGGCAGGATATTAGCTGATAAGAAAAGCAAAAGGCTTAGTTAGATGATAGATTCATGATATATATGTATAAACCAATAAAAACAATGAACAAGTTAAATAAGCGTCAGCAGTCAACGTCGTTCTCTTGATAACGACCGACTATAATGTCGGGGAGAAGAAGGAAGACGATATCGATCGTTCATTCTACGTGGTGACCGCCTGTCACGACCAGACGAGAAAGAACGAGAACGCCGTCCATTACGTCGCGGAGTAACCGATCGTCTGAAAAGTTAAAAGTGAACTCATTTGCGAGAATACAGTTACACAAAAATAGTGATAAATGATGCATGCAAGTGGACACCAATAATTAAAGAGAGAAGTAGAACAAATATAACAAGATAAATTGAAATACAGAGAGAATAATTAACTAGCTATACCTACACTTATTACCAAGTAAAACACAATAACCAATGCACACAGTACACTAAACATATAAAAACTTCACCGTCGGGAAATTCTTCATACAGACTAACAAGCATCCCCATAAAATTGGTTTGCATATAATACGCAAATACTACATAATCGCCACTCATGGTAGGCTAAATCCTAATAGTATACTTCTCATCCACAACGCTTTCTATTTGTCATCTCATCTATATGGACTGTCCAAATGTCAGGCAATCACCTGGTCAAACCCAAACGAACAATCCCTAATTAATCAAATCAATTTGTATGGAAAACAATTGTAGAAACGGTACTAGAGGCACGTGAATACCATTAGCGACCGTCTACTTCAATATAGCATTTTTGGGAGACCAGAACGATATCCTGGTACTATGAAAATGCACAAAAATCTAACATCTGAATCTGCAACTTTGTAGGAGAGATTCACAGTAGACAGTAGTTTTGCCAACAAATCAATCCTTTCAATATAGCATTCCTAAAACACCCGACTACAGTCAGGCTCTAGCGGAATGCACAAAAAGAATCATGTTTCAATATGTAGAAGCAATTTTAACGGGATGCGATGCACACCGCCAGTGATTGCTACGTTCATTTTGGCATCACTGAAGCACTAGGCTTGTTAACCAGCCTTCGTCAGATGCCATTCACTAAACATCTTTATTATTTCGTTCTACTACATATACGTGTATACTCCAGTTCCTGTTACAGCACTACACACTGGCCATTCTTCATAGTTCCACATCAATTCGCCTCCTCACAGGCGTGCAACGGCAACTCTTACGAGATATAACGCGCTCCCCTCAAGAGCCACCAGAAGATTCCTGCAAAATCCAATATCACTTCCGTGACGCTTCGTTAAGCAGGCATAAATCCAACAGACCAAAACCCATAAATGATTTCATGCCACATCCATTCACGCCACTGAATAAAAACTTCTCCTGCATTTTCCCACTTTCCCGTCAACGCCCGCTTACCATCCTTCTTCTATTACTACGTATGTGGTATTCGCCAACAAATTCATTGCTCAATCAAACTGTCTTGACGTAAAAAAATAGCAACCTCATTAATCGAAGTCTAACATTTAACAATTGTACCCTTAAAAAGAATAACACGTTGCACAAATCCGAAAGGCATGATACCCACTTGAAACACAAAATGGATGACAACCAGTTATCAATTCATCAGCTGAGCACAAACAACATGTCACCACCAATACTGTGGGGCACCAACTGTTAACTCTGTTTACTACACAAACACAACAATACATTATTTCATTATCTCACCAATTGTAAAAACACCGGCGCAGCTTCTCTATACATCATCAAAACCTAACTAAGTCCCAACCGCGGCCACAACGCAATTCAACAATCACTCCTCAACAACGGTCCTCCTCCTACCAATCGTACAACTCAGTGCAGTGAGATGTCACTGAACATGACTCAGAATAAAAGCCAGTGGTGATTATTCGGTAGTCCTATTTGACGTTCCTCCGAAACTTGAACTGTATCTCTTAAAGTCCTCATTCTCGTCGTGACTACAGGACTTCCCCAGCCACTTTGTCTTTTTGAACACCTATCCTCACTTCGTATCATCTGGTGCGTTTCCTAGCACTCAATTGTACCAAACACGTTACGTGTCACAAATAAATAATACGAGCAACATACACATAATCAAATCTGCACAGACACCCACTTGGATGAAAGAAGGTTAATTCCCAACAAATGAACGACTATATGACTCAGTAAAAACTTACAACCAACTAACATCACTCTACTACATTGAACCCGAGTGAAAACTGCACGATACTTACAAGTGGTTGACACCATCACTCAAACTAACAGTCGGTAGGACAAACACATAATTTTCCCCACTCCCTTCTTCGATTCACAATCTCGCGTGTCGAATTCGCCGACTTATACACCAACAAAACAATTCCTGATCAACGTGAAACACATGAACGCACAATGCAAATTCTTGCGAAAATCTAACACTTCTCTTGCAGCACAATCCAAAACAAAATTTTAAACACATACATACCTGCCTTCATTAACCTAACAGCACTTCGGTTCATATACACAAACCGTCTGACATATTCATTATTCACCTAACCCTATCGGTGACTACACTAATGACCACACCTAACTACAACCGACCTGAACACATCACCATATAATAACACCGGGTTAGATAGAACCACTCAATCCTAAACTAAACAATATTAGACATCGTCCACATCACTTGCGGCTATCAAACACTAGTTTGTCCAGCAACATTTGACAGGCAAACGCTCAATCAGATCACATATAACACCATAGACACCTCATTACACTTTAGGCGCAATACACTTAACATTGGAGCAGTCAGTCACACCCCACTTACATGTCAGTGTAACAACTGGCACTCATATGCAAGCAACATTATCGAATCACACTCTGCACAATTTAGGGTGAGTAAATCCCATAAACTGATTGAACTCAGAAGAACAATCCCCAATCAATCAAATCAATTTGTATGGAAAACAATTGTAGAAACGGTACTAGAAACACGTGAATACCATTAGCGACCGTCTACTTCAATATAGCATTTTGGGAGACCAGAACAATGTTCTGGTACTATGAAAATGCAATACCAATCTCCAACCAGGTTTACAGAGACTCGTAATAAACATAAGTACATGCTACTGCAAAAACTCTAGGATGGGAAACGTCAATGACTATTGTTTATTTTAATCTAGCACTGGCCGAAACTAGAACCATACACACACTCCACACAACACCCTATAGGGAACAAACAATGTAGGAGCTATTCGGGAAGCAAAATTGCCTCCACAAATACCCTCCTTTTAATGTAGCATCCTTCTGACACCCGACCAGAGTCAGGCTCTAATAGAATGCGAGGTGAATTCCAACCACATTTCTAAATCTAACAAAACTGTTCGCAACCAGTACATGACTACACAATCCGGATACGTGAGTCAAGCTTACACTTACCAAACCAAAGATATCACATAGAACACAAACAATGGAAACCCTAGTAGCCGAGAAACAATTTTGCGCAGTCTACTATTTCATACTTAGGCGACTGGTGCTGCAACTGCGTAATAGAAACATTAACGACAAATAAAAGATGAACAAAAGTAAACCTTCTAGACACCATCTATCTTTCCAATCGACACTTAATACCGATGTGCATCGTCGAAACAACCAATTTATCCCAACACAATAGACCCTACCCAATGCACCATTGTGATCACTGACTTGTCTCGACATTTATACATGCAATCTCTATATATCTATGATACTTCGTTACGTTCAGTGCTGGAAACCCATTTGACAATTTATCCTGAAGAGATCACCTCACAGTCAACACCCGAACATGAAACCGACACATCAGTCAAGAAACACTGTGCTAAGCACCTGTTCTTTGTTGGTGACATACAACAAACTGTCCTCGTAGACAAACTCCAGTCTGATCTTTATTCGATGGAATATAGCATCTACACACTTCCAAAATAGATATATCCCACCATCTTTATCGATGCTCAAGCCAGTTCGCATAAAATTCCGTTAAATTTAGACTAAGAAACTAATGAGCATCAACATTTAAATACATAAAGCATACTATCAGGCTGCTGGATAAGCCATCAGACACACGAAGACCTCCTTAAACTAAGCATATGAAGTGTGTAGTGTAAACCATTTATTAAGCACAGGCTTATAAACTCGACTTTGAGTCGCACTGTTTATGTGAAAGCTAATGATACTAACCGAATTCCCCAAACCGAGGTAGGTGAGGTGGGGTTAGAGCCCGCAACTTATCGGTTGATACATACTTACAACACTGAAACAACCACGTTCAGCGCATTGTCAAAACATTGCATTGGAATCACGACGACTAATACGATACAATACAATACGTTACATACCCAACGCACAATAGAAGGCAGACGTGAAATGCCTTACCGAAGGCGCAAATTCTTCGGACACTTCATAATACGGTTATCTGTTATATATTTTGGAAAATGTTTTATCAATTACTCCAGTGGCTTACCGTACGCATCAGGATAACCAGAATCTAGACCCGAAGAACGGGGTTAGAACCACCACTTTTCGGCAATCCTGCTGCAGTCATGTAACCACCCCCACAGCTCACACACCCACCAGCATGAACAACCTTGGTTGTCAACGCCAAATGTCCGCAAGCAAATTCTGTTCACGCTTTGAGAATTGGCTATCTTGGTTACTCTGTAGAGCAACCTTTAGACCTACACCGACTAATCCCCATAACACAATGTGTGAACAGCTACAGCACCACAGCAAAACCTGCTAGTCTCACCATCAGACAGCCGCTTTGCCGGAAAGATTTAACTGCACACCAGCACAACTATGTTTCCAGATTAACAGCTAAACTCCGAGTTAAAAATCTGCAAACAGCTAACTGATCAAAACTGTCTCGCCTGACACTGCGAACAACAGCAATCTCCCATGTATCAGCATAGCATACAGGCAATCCATATCGGCAGGATATTAGCTGATAAGAAAAGCAAAAGGCTTAGTTAGATGATAGATTCATGATATATATGTATAAACCAATAAAAACAATGAACAAGTTAAATAAGCGTCAGCAGTCAACGTCGTTCTCTTGATAACGACCGACTATAATGTCGGGGAGAAGAAGGAAGACGATATCGATCGTTCATTCTACGTGGTGACCGCCTGTCACGACCAGACGAGAAAGAACGAGAACGCCGTCCATTACGTCGCGGAGTAACCGATCGTCTGAAAAGTTAAAAGTGAACTCATTTGCGAGAATACAGTTACACAAAAATAGTGATAAATGATGCATGCAAGCGGACACCAATAATTAAAGAGAGAAGTAGAACAAATATAACAAGATAAATTGAAATACAGAGAGAATAATTAACTAGCTATACCTACACTTATTACCAAGTAAAACACAATAACCAATGCACACAGTACACTAAACATATAAAAACTTCACCGTCGGGAAATTCTTCATACAGACTAACAAGCATCCCCATAAAATTGGTTTGCATATAGTACGCAAATACTACGTAATCGCCACTCATGGTAGGCTAAATCCTAATAGTATACTTCTCATCCACAACGCTTTCTATTTGTCATCTCATCTATATGGACTGTCCAAATGTCAGGCAATCACCTGGTCAAGCCCAAACGAACAATCCCTAATTAATCAAATCAATTTGTATGGAAAACAATTGTAGAAACGGTACTAGAGGCACGTGAATACCATTAGCGACCGTCTACTTCAATATAGCATTTTTGGGAGACCAGAACGATATCCTGGTACTATGAAAATGCACAAAAATCTAACATCTGAATCTGCAACTTTGTAGGAGAGATTCACAGTAGACAGTAGTTTTGCCAACAAATCAATCCTTTCAATATAGCATTCCTAAAACACCCGACTACAGTCAGGCTCTAGCGGAATGCACAAAAAGAATCATGTTTCAATATGTAGAAGCAATTTTAACGGGATGCGATGCACACCGCCAGTGATTGCTACGTTCATTTTGGCATCACTGAAGCACTAGGCTTGTTAACCAGCCTTCGTCAGATGCCATTCACTAAACATCTTTATTATTTCGTTCTACTACATATACGTGTATACTCCAGTTCCTGTTACAGCACTATACACTGGCCATTCTTCATAGTTCCACATCAATTCGCCTCCTCACAGGCGTGCAACGGCAACTCTTACGAGATATAACGCGCTCCCCTCAAGAGCCACCAGAAGATTCCTGCAAAATCCAATATCACTTCCGTGACGCTTCGTTAAGCAGGCATAAATCCAACAGACCAAAACCCATAAATGATTTCATGCCACATCCATTCACGCCACTGAATAAAAACTTCTCCTGCATTTTCCCACTTTCCCGTCAACGCCCGCTTACCATCCTTCTTATATTACTACTTATGTGGTATTCGCCAACAAATTCATTGCTCAATCAAACTGTCTTGACGTAAAAAAATAGCAACCTCATTAATCGAAGTCTAACATTTAACAATTGTACCCTTAAAAAGAATAACACGTTGCACAAATCCGAAAGGCATGATACCCACTTGAAACACAAAATGGATGACAACCAGTTATCAATTCATCAGCTGAGCACAAACAACATGTCACCACCAATACTGTGGGGCACCAACTGTTAACTCTGTTTACTACACAAACACAACAATACATTATTTCATTATCTCACCAATTGTAAAAACACCGGCGCAGCTTCTCTATACATCATCAAAACCTAACTAAGTCCCAACCGCGGCCACAACGCAATTCAACAATCACTCCTCAACAACGGTCCTCCTCCTACCAATCGTACAACTCAGTGCAGTGAGATGTCACTGAACATGACTCAGAATAAAAGCCAGTGGTGATTATTCGGTAGTCCTATTTGACGTTCCTCCGAAACTTGAACTGTATCTCTTAAAGTCCTCATTCTCGTCGTGACTACAGGACTTCCCCAGCCACTTTGTCTTTTTGAACACCTATCTTCACTTCGTATCATCTGGTGCGTTTCCTAGCACTCAATTGTACCAAACACGTTACGTGTCACAAATAAATAATACGAGCAACATACACATAATCAAATCTGCACAGATACCCACTTGGATGAAAGAAGGTTAATTCCCAACAAATGAACGACTATATGACTCAGTAAAAACTTACAACCAACTAACATCACTCTACTACATTGAACCCGAGTGAAAACTGCACGATACTTACAAGTGGTTGACACCATCACTCAAACTAACAGTCGGTAGGACAAACACATAATTTTCCCCACTCCCTTCTTCGATTCACAATCTCGCGTGTCGAATTCGCCGACTTATACACCAACAAAACAATTCCTGATCAACGTGAAACACATGAACGCACAATGCAAATTCTTGCGAAAATCTAACACTTCTCTTGCAGCACAATCCAAAACAAAATTTTAAACACATACATACCTGCCTTCATTAACCTAACAGCACTTCGGTTCATATACACAAACCGTCTGACATATTCATTATTCACCTAACCCTATCGGTGACTACACTAATGACCACACCTAACTACAACCGACCTGAACACATCACCATATAATAACACCGGGTTAGATAGAACCACTCAATGCTAAACTAAACAATATTAGACATCGTCCACATCACTTGCGGCTATCAAACACTAGTTTGTCCAGCAACATTTGACAGGCAAACGCTCAATCAGATCACATATAACACCATAGACACCTCATTACACTTTAGGCGCAATACACTTAACATTGGAGCAGTCAGTCACACCCCACTTACATGTCAGTGTAACAACTGGCACTCATATGCAAGCAACATTATCGAATCACACTCTGCACAATTTAGGGTGAGTAAATCCCATAAACTGATTGAACTCAGAAGAACAATCCCCAATCAATCAAATCAATTTGTATGGAAAACAATTGTAGAAACGGTACTAGAAACACGTGAATACCATTAGCGACCGTCTACTTCAATATAGCATTTTGGGAGACCAGAACAATGTTCTGGTACTATGAAAATGCAATACCAATCTCCAACCAAGTTTACAGAGACTCGTAATAAACATAAGTACATGCTACTGCAAAAACTCTAGGATGGGAAACGTCAATGACTATTGTTTATTTTAATCTAGCACTGGCCGAAACTAGGACCATACACACACTCCACACAACACCCTATAGGGAACAAACAATGTAGGAGCTATTCGGGAAGCAAAATTGCCTCCACAAATACCCTCCTTTTAATGTAGCATCCTTCTGACACCCGACCAGAGTCAGGCTCTAATAGAATGCGAGGTGAATTCCAACCACATTTCTAAATCTAACAAAACTGTTCGCAACCAGTACATGACTACACAATCCGGATACGTGAGTCAAGCTTACACTTACCAAACCAAAGATATCACATAGAACACAAACAATGGAAACCCTAGTAGCCGAGAAACAATTTTGCGCAGTCTACTATTTCATACTTAGGCGACTGGTGCTGCAACTGCGTAATAGAAACATTAACGACAAATAAAAGATGAACAAAAGTAAACCTTCTAGACACCATCTATCTTTCCAATCGACACTTAATACCGATGTGCATCGTCGAAACAACCAATTTATCCCAACACAATAGACCCTACCCAATGCACCATTGTGATCACTGACTTGTCTCGACATTTATACATGCAATCTCTATATATCTATGATACTTCGTTACGTTCAGTGCTGGAAACCCATTTGACAATTTATCCTGAAGAGATCACCTCACAGTCAACACCCGAACATGAAACCGACACATCAGTCAAGAAACACTGTGCTAAGCACCTGTTCTTTGTTGGTGACATACAACAAACTGTCCTCGTAGACAAACTCCAGTCTGATCTTTATTCGATGGAATATAGCATCTACACACTGCTGTTTTCTCAATCGGCACTCTATACTGACGTGCACAGATATTCTTAACTTTGGCTGTTATTCAGTGGAATGCAGGAATTATATGCTTCCAAAATTTATTTACGCTAGTATGTTCATCGATTACCATTTCACTCCTTTAAAATCGCGTCAAATTTTTAGCAGGGAACTTGTGATATCGACATTTAAGTACATAAAATAGCATCTCGTGTGGGAATATATACTACTTTTTATTGATATTACCGAGATTTCATGGATGATTTCTAGAATATTTTCGAATCCAATTCTTTTCGTTAGGTCGCTATAAACGCGAAATGAAATGTAACTTGTGACTTAGGGTAATGTACACAAAAGCAGTTTTAACAAAATGATTCTAACCTTCGACGGTTTGGAGTTGGTCGACCATATTTTGCTCTTTGGACTCGGACTTCTCTCCCATCTACCTTATGGCCATCCATACCGCGTATGGCACAGTCAGCCTCACGGTCAGTGCAGTATCGAACGAAAGCAAATCCTCGACTCTCGAAAGTGTAGGGATCTCTAGGTATGTAGATATCACCTGTGACGAAAGGTGCATTAATGAAGTTTCACAAGAGGGCGTGTTTTAGGACACGCGTTACTTACCAACTTCGCCAAATCGGCTGAAAACTCTTCGCAAGTCATCAATAGTTGTTCTGTATGCCAGGTTATCAACTTTCAACGATACCATCCCATCGATTCTTGGTGGAGATCGACCGTACCTGTTCATAACTCAGAATTCTGAAACCGGATATCAATGACTAGTGACCTAGCTAACCATTGATAAAAACAAGGTCATGCTATAAAGCATATTGAAACATATTTCGGTACTTTCTTGTAATATGGTCTAAAGAATCCCGTAATTCGAAACAGATCGCCATATCGGATGGTTATGGATGGAATACTGAAAACTGTCGTTTGACGAGCCTTCATGTCCATATAACTATATCCCCAGATTGAGATCTAGGTACATAGTACAATTCCTAAGAGTGCATGAAGTTCACTCCTAAAAGACTCCCTTGGACGGATAGTAGAGAATCCCAAGACTCGGCAACTTGTAATGAGTAGAAACTGTCTGTACTGTTTGGTACAAACATTAAGTTCACGCATCAGTATACTTATTCGTAATAAGACGCCTGAAAGAACATACGAATGTCAAATGCAATAATTCAGTTCCATCGACCGAATTGACCTCAGTGGGGCGATTAACTTGAAGGCCTTATATGGGTATCTTTATGGTGTTCCTTTGTTTGTTTATTTGTCCATCCATAAGTTATATTCCACCATTATATTGATCTACAAACATTTCAGACGCGTTGAATAAGTAACAGACTTAGCTGTTTGTACTCTTTGTTGCAGTACAGACTAAACTACCCTAATGAAATCCTGGGTTTCATCTTATTATAATATCCTATTTCCGGTGTTTACCGATTGTTAGTGACTATAGAACCATGAATGTAATACTGTCCTGACTTCTTTAGAATAGATCAAGTTTCCTCCCCCTGAACTAACTTAGCTAATGTCAAGTTCCAAGGCCTAACTACTCATGAAGAGTAGAAGGTGGGCTATCTCCTTAGCTTTCTGTGTTCCACCTCTGATTTATGGGTGGCCCCCTAAGATATTGTCCTAACAGAGAGCATTTGTAAGCACTTTTTAAAAAATGCATCAGTGTTTAGGACGCTTCATGGTACTAAAAGGTCGCCTATGAGTCACGTATAATTAAATAAAAAAGGATCCAGCGTTTTAACGCATCCTACATAAAGCGTGGGCTTGAGTTTCCAATTTGGTTGCGTGATCAGTTTGTGTATATGATCTACTGTATTCTTAACCACTCTAGAGTGGTGGTGAAAACGCTATATTTTCATACTCTTAGTTAGGCTGAATGTAACTTGAAAATCACACAGAAAGTTGTACTTTCGAATCAACCACAATGTACTTCAAAATTACCGGTATAAGGTTTACTCTAAGGGCTTTTCATCACAATTAGCACACGATCTTAGATCATAGGAAGTCAAGACGCCTAAATACGTCCGCTCAACAACACTTCTATAAATACATTGCCTATGTTGCATGTGTAGTTTGTTCCAGATGCCAAATGAACTACTTTACACTTTGAAAAATTTAAAGTTGGTCCATTAAATTTGAGTCACCTCCTACTGAGGCGCTATCTTATTATTCTGGTAGCAAACTTATCTGCAAAACTCCGAGTCATCAGTAAAGCAATCATTCAGAAGAGACCCACCGGAAAAGATCATTTCTATGAATTAGAAAGGTCCTAGTGCGGAGTTCTTGAGGACCCTAATAAAGCATCCTATAGCCCGAAACAGTTAATAATTAACCCTGAACTTAATGAGCCAATTATTTAGGTACTACTCTACCCACCTTATAATTGGTGACTGAAAACCTGCATGTTTGAACTTATTGACAAGATATGTATGATTGTCTCCAAGTACTCATAATGCATTAGCTTCACACTGTCCTTACGACCGAGTATGTTACTCCACCCACCAACCATTACCAGAAAATTTATGACTGTATCGCGATCTTTCTGTAAACCTTGCTGTTTCATTTCCAGTCTCCACCTGGGAGGGGTTTTGGGACGCATGGCTTGTAATAGTCCTGACTATAAAAGTGTCGCAGTTGGATCGACTTTCTTTTTAACGCGCTCAAAAATGGAACTTCAACTACGTCTTCAGACAGATAGTTCTGCCTGTTGATGATCACGCGGGAAAATTGTTAATCACCTAACAAGTAAATTTTTCTGTTTGAGAACTTCTTTGAGCATCTTTACAAACCCTCGATTTTTGTAGATAAAACGGGACGGCACGTCACACACACTGGGAATGTTTGGTCTAGTCAGCCTATACGCAGCAATAAATGTGGGTTGAGACAATCGGTGCAGCAGCAGCCTCCTAAACAGTAGTGTTATAATGCAGAGTTGGAGGACACCAACAAGTCCGTGGGCAGGAGTACATGTAGATTTCGCCGGTCCCATAAACGGGAAACAGTACTTGGTGATTGTTGATGCCTTCTCAAAACGGCCAGAGGTCCACTACATGAAGTCTCTTTCGACAAAAGCTACTATCAAAAAACTGAGACAAGTATTCAGCTGCTTTAGGTGTCCAAATGTATTGGTGGCTGATAATGGACCATAGTTTACCTCCACTGAATTTTCGAAGTTCTGAGTCGCCAACGCCGTCAGGCATATAAAGACACCCACATACCACTCGCAGTCAAACTGTCTAGTCGAGATGTTCGTTGATACGTTTAAAAGAGCACTGCCTAAAGCCTAGGGAGAAGGGGAAATAGAAGAGATGATTCGAAGATTTCTACAAACCTACCGAGCAACACACAATCCAGCAACAAATAATCAAGAAAGTCCAGGAGAAGCAATTTTTGGAAGAAAGAATAGAACACCTATAGAGCAAATGAAACCAAAACCTAGAACCAACCTCCGCAAGAACAAACGAATGGAACAGCAATTCAACAGGCGGCATGGTGCACTACCCAGAAGGCTTAAAGTGGGACAAGCGGTAATAACAAGAGATTTCACGGCAGTAAAGCCAACCTGTAAGTTTGGCATAATAATACCGAAAAAGGGAAAGTTATCTACGAAGTAAAAGTTGGACAAAAGATATGGGTGCGACATGCAAGCCAGATACAGCCAACCAGACAAGAGCGGGAGACAGGAAATGCTATAAAGTCGAATATACCAATAAATATACTGAGTCGGATAATGAAATTAAAAATGACCCGAATAATAACAAGACGTATACAACAGTCCCAAGGAGGTCGCAGCGCATCAGGCGGAAACCTAATCGAATAAAAATAAATCCTAAGGATCATTATTATCTCTAATGCTTCAAAAAAGGGAGGTCTTATAACCCAGTGAAGATTAAGTTACAGGTAACTTCCGAGGACTGTTAACAGACTAATATTCTATAAATATCTTGTTGTATAATTATTCAATAATTAAATTATGTGTATTTATATTCCCCTTATTATAAGCTTTATTTTGACCTATAATTTATTACTATACGATTTACGGTTCTTAATCTATGTTCAGTCTATTAATTACCATCTCCCACGTTCACAGCCACTTTCCGGCTTATTTGTGTACACATGTTATTTTCTATTTTATGGTACGTTGTGGTCTGTCTTATTGGTATATGAACAGAGTATGTTTGAAATACATAACTCATATTGCGGAAGCTGGTATTGTGTTTTTTTGGACTCAAGCAAACGGGCTAGAAGGACCTCGGACCAACAAGGCGCTAGACTGCCCACACCGGTCGAACGTCATTGGTTGACATAGAGTAAAGATTTCTATAAGTCGTATTCTGATTGGTTGATAATTCGCGTGGTAGAAAGGCCAGACATCAGGATCATAACAATTAGGACACACAATGCACAAGGAAAAGAGAAAGATCATAAAATACAACACAACGGATTGCAAACGAATCGCACTTGATGGACGGTCTCTGGAAGAGGTGAAAACTGTGATAGTTTTAAGTATTCGAATTTAAGTAAAATCTAAGAATCCCAGAAATAAATCAATCTAACCAAGAAGTACTGGATCCGCACGAACGAACGTATTGTATTTAGAATTCAAAATCAGACAGTCATCAAGTGCAAATGAATCATTAATCCATACAAATACCAAATCCGCCACAGCTTAAACGAAATTTCTAATCTGTGTGATCAGTCGTACATCTTCTCCTTAGTTTCATAATGTGACTGTCCGAGTGTGTGTTGGATTTAGACTCCGTATGATCAGCATTCCTACAGTTGGAGAACATATTGAATTCTAAACAACTGTCAACCAATATCAAAGTGATAATCTTCGATACGAACATCAAGGCAGTTCTATTGTACGGAGCTAAAACTTGGAGGACAACACCAACCATCATCAAGAAGGTGCAAGTATTTATAAATAGTTGTCTACGCAAGATATTCAACATCCATTAGCCGGATACCATTAGCAACAGCCGTCCGTGGGAGAGAACAAACCAGCTTCCTGCTGAAGAGGAAATTAGAAAAAGACGATGGGGGTGGATAGGACATGCATCATGGAAACCATCAAACTACATCACGAGGCAAGCCCTAACGTGGAATCCTGAAGGGAAGTGGAAAAGCGGAAGTTCGAAGAACACATTACGTCGGGAAATAAAAGCATATATTGAAAAGGATGAATAACAACTGGAAGGAGCTAGAAATGATTGCCCAGGACAGAGTTGGATGGAGAATGTTGGTAAGCGGCCTATGCTGCTTCACGAGGAGTAGCAGGCGTAATTAAATAAGTAAGTCATACCCATTAGCAGAATCTTGGATTCCGTTTGAATCTTCTGTCTGTGCAAACTTCATATCTGGAACAACTAGTCCTCTAATTCCTTCGGGAATAGTTTCTATTCCCTCTGATTCATCATACCGCTGACTAGGGATCCTACTCAACATACATTGGTTGTGAGAATATCCAACATCTGACACAATAAAATCAGGAATGTGACTTGAATTAGACTCATTCGGAACATATTTGTCACATTCATTAGGGCTATCTTTGAAGCTGAACATATGATTTAATTTCACTTGGTATTTTTTTACTTGAATCTTCCCATTGATGCTTAGGACTGCAATTGATCAATCTCTTATTGACATATGTGCATACTGTGTGTATTTCTTCGACATTACCTCAATTAACAGGCATTACAAGCAAAGATGGATAGTGGCTAGCAGTGGAATCCAGGATGCGCGTTTCGTCCTATTTGGGACTCAGTAGCCAAGTGGATAACAAGAA